CCCAAGTAAGCGTTACAAAAATACCATAGAGAAAATGCTTGGAAGTATTCAGGCTCTCACACGTGGCCAAATTTCGTGACCTTCAGACATGCGTGCGAGGGGCCTGCTTACGTGGGCTGAACCGTCAGTACCTGAAACTTTGGCAAAGGCCGAGCACTGAAACCCTGAGCCATCAATCCTGCATTCCAAGCCGTAATCAGAACTCCAAAACGCGGTCTAAGGCTAAATGTAAGCCTTAGACCCTAGACCCCCAACCTGCCGCATAAGTCGTTTAGAGGTCGCTGCTATAGATCTCAATACTTCAACTGGAACCCTTCAGTCACCAAGAGACAAACCCCAAACCCAACATCTGACCAAAAGCCAAAGCCTCCTTCAGACTTTACGGTTACAAGGGTCTATGTTTAGTACTGAACCATGGACTCTAGACTCTAGACCGTACTAGAAAACAATTCAGCGGTCTTTCACCTTCCTTTGGAAACCCACGCAGCTGGGTCTGTCTGCCCCTCGCAACACAGTGGTGATGTGGATCATAACACAGCTGAAGCTTTTTCTATTCTGTGTGCGTATTACTTGAGGCTTGGTATTTGAGGTTTTCAGGCTTAAAGGTTTAGGGTTTGGGGATCAATTGTTTTTTGGGCGTAGGGTTGGGGATTTTGACTGTCGACTTTATCTGGACCCGGGATGTCCGACATTTTTCGTGGAATCTACTCATACACATGTAGGACAGAGCCCCCAGCGGAAGGACATGTCGGGTCCAGGCAAGGTTCAGGGTTTGGGTGGGGTTGATGAGTTTGGGAGGGTTGGACAATGAAGACCATACACTTTAGGCTTTAAGGCTGCAGGACAGGGGGTAAGGATTTGCTCCTTGGTGGGTCTGAAGAAAAAAAAATGTATTCATATGCATATACAAGGGATGGGAAGGAGATGAAAAATTACAGCTCCGAACCCGTTTGGGGCTTTCACATGGGCGTTCAGGTTTGAAGGTTTGCAGGGTTCGGGTTTACAGGGCTTCGAGGGGGTCAAGGCTTTGGGTTTAAGATGTCTTGATGCTGTTCGTAACCTCATAGAACACGCGCCGAAATGGAAGAGCCCTGTCCCTGCCTAAGGATGCGAACGGGATGCTAACCATGACTCACAAACTTCGAGTTCCCAGACTGCATTCATGACGCCATTTAGACTTGGAAGTTTGCGAGGGGCAGCATTTGCCAATTGGCAAAGGTTTCCTGGCTGTTGCCAAGGTCTTTTCCTAGTCGGCTGCTGTCAAAAGTTCAACCCAAACACTAATGCGTATTTTCAGGGTTTTGAATTCCAGGGCTCTTGGGCGTTTAACTTGGGTTTGGGGATGGGTTTTAAGCGTATCTCCCCCAAACAAGCATGGAAACCCTGTTTTGGGGTTCCGCGGCAGACCTTCAGATACGGGCCGCCCGTGTGCCGCCCAGAATTTGGCTTACAACTGCAAAAGCACAGGGAGTCCAAAAATGGCTCCGGATTAGAATCTAGGATCCCTAGACCCAACGCCAGACAGCACACCCTCCCATGTGAAGGCTGGTATTTTGGCCGAGCCCTACACCCTACTCCCTAAATGCCCAGAAAGTAACTGACATTCAAGCCGATGACCGCATCCATCTAAATGCCGGATTCTGACCCTGAAACATATCAACCGCTATCCCTGAACCTGCTTGCTGCCTATCTCCATATATCTCAAGATACAACTCTTTCTCAAGGTCACCTTAGGGCTTAGCGTGCAGAATCACTTCAGGGAGGGATAAGTTGAGGATCGATTTGGGCATCGAGCACCGCTGCCCCCCCCCCCGCTAAGTCCCCACCACTGCGGAACTAACACCGGTCCCATTCTACAGCATCTGGGACCGGACCTCTGCTTGTCGGGTAATTCGTTCATCAGTTTCACAAAGCATCTCTCTACAGCTCCTCTGCATCCCTTAAGACCACGTTTAGACACATGCTTGTGGCTACACCCTAAACCCCAAACCCCACAACCTCTGCTGCGCTACCCGCGTCCCTCAGCTCTCCACAGTGCCCTCCAAGAGTCCGCTATCAGCGATCTCTACCTGCGACAAGCCGGGATTGCTGTCTAGGGTGCGGGGTTAAGGATCTATAGGCTCCGGTGTCTAGGACTTTCGATGTTGGATTGATCGCTTTAAGGTGTAGGATTTATGGATCAGGGATCAAGGTTTAGAGCTTCAAAGTCCTGTTGCAAGATGTTTTTATTTGAGGGTGGTGGGGCGGGTTTTCAGAAAGGTCCGGATTCATATGCGGGCACCTGCGCTCATGTCCGCTAATCCTGGGTCTGAGCTTTCTGGCCATGTGCTCAAATTGTTGGGTGGAGAGGGCTTGTGGTGGTGTAGAGGAGTGTTGAACGCTTCTTTTTGATTTAGATGAGTTGTTGAATATCTAGTCACTGTAGCTTGTGAAGCTGATCACGCTGAAATGTACATTGGCAACTTCTGCACCGTCCTAGGCAAGGTAAGTTGATGCTGTCAGCAAGCCATGGTCCACGTAGATTCCCCAAAGCTTCCTGAGGCAGTGTGAAAGTTCGGGGCTTTAGAACGATCTCCAGGGGCTTATGCCACTAATTTGAGCGACGCAGGCTCAACGGACCGAGCGCAAAGGCCAGCATTGGAGACACTGATGGCGATTGCAGGGTGGCAATGAGGAGGGTATCTCTAACACTCAATCCTTATTCCTCCAAACGCAACACTCTGATGCTCCAAGCCCCAAGACTACATCTCTCGTGACCTCAAGGCGTCCTTAGAGGGAGGCCAGTGGGATCCGATAGGAAAGGATCACTTGTCAAGCTAGTTAGCGGGCTTGTGGTTAAAACCCTACGGCGGTCAACATGCGTGTTCCTGTGAAGTGAAACCCATCCTGGTCACGAAGGCTTGCAAGGCCTGCGGGCTTGGAAAGCAGGGCCCCAACTCCACGCACCCACAGAGAACCCAACCCCTCAACCATGGCGTCTTGCTGAAACGCCAAAGCTTAAGCAACGTGCCCAATTTAGACATGACAGTGCCGGAGCATACAAAATGATCCCATGCAAGTTTAGATAGCCGGACTTGTCTTCTAAAGAAAGGGCCCTGGCCCTGGCTTAGCCAACTCTGAGGACCCATGCTTGGAAACTGGGGTCTACCTCACTCTTAAGCCCCGTCCCAAACCTTCAAACTTAGAACCTACCTGACCTTCTGATGCTAATGCACTTCCTGATGTATTTACTGAACATTCTTCTTGAAAGCTCCTGACAACTGCACTAGGCACTAACAGCTAAACCCTAAACACTAATCTCTAAACAATGATCCCCATACACCCTAAACCATAAACCCCAACCCCTAGACCACAGTCACTAAACCCTCGATGCTATGTAAGAGCTATGAGGGAACAATATTGGCAATTGCTATGGCTCCCCAACCTTGCAAGCCCCATAAACCCCTACATACGAAGTTTCTGTTTGATTTTGATTCTTACACATCTAAGTTTGCATTCTTCTTTAGCCCACTCGATTCTTTTCCATATATCCCAGTAGAATTGTAATATATGTACCTACTTGTATCTCCTTATAATGAGTATTAGGTAGAAACCTGCCTTCTTCGAAGGCGCACCACTCTGAGAGCCCACGGCCTCCACCTTTCAGCTTGTTTACTTGGAGTTTCTAGGGGGGTAGATAGGGGTATTTAGGGATGTATACGGTTTTACAGGGGAAGTATACTGGTAGGTAGAGGATGATAAGGTCTTAGAAGGTTAGATAGGGGTAGTTATGAATGGCACAGAAAATGGAGGCTACTCTCTTGTTTAGGCAGGAAGATCGGGGGTACCCATGGTTAGCTTATGAAGCGGGACAACTGGGTCAAGTGGGGCAAGTGGGACGGGCGCCCTTAATGTCCCCCCCCCCTGCAGTCGCAATGTAGGTGTTAGTGTTACGGGTAGGTCTGTATACTGGATACAGAATACTCGCGTGGGAGGTATGGTGGTGGAAATTCTATCTTGGGGGCAAGGCGATCACAACTACTAAGGAAAGCATCGCCCGTCAAACAAAAAGGTCAAATCGCATGCGTATACGGACTGACTGTGCATCGCCGCCCTCGCAATATGAGTCTTCCCTGCTCGTCTAAAGTTCGTCTACAGTCCGACAGACAGTACGAGATTCCGCAGACTCCCGGAGCGTGCAAGTACCTAATTTCGGAATTCCAGGTACCGATATAAAATCTTGTTGGGGGACCCTGAAGGAATGCTTGTCTGCTTTCTACTTTTTAGCCACATTTAGGTAACATAGGTGCGCACCCCAAACCCTAAAAGCCGTAGATCCGCATGAATCCCTGACGCCGAAACCCAAATACCTTTACATCCCTGCCCAGTTTTCCTCAAAAACTCCAAATGCACATAATCTCATCTTTTCCGTCGCTCCGTGGTTTGCGCAACTTGTCCAGCAGCTCAAGAGCAGTCTTCCTCTGCTCCCCGCTGAAAGATGGACTCCTTCTCAGAGCTTGGAGGCTCGGGGGGTTTTGGGGCTTAAGGGCTTGGAGGCTTGGGAGGTAGGTGCTTTGGGGTCGGGTAGTTTGGGGGGCTCGGGAGGATTAGGGTTGAGAGAGCAATGTCTTCGGCAGAGCTATGTTGGGAAAGTGTTGGAGAAGGAGTGATTAGATGAAGAGCGTAGGGTTCCTGGATGATTACGCACAGGGATGACTGCTTAGCGAAATAAGCTGCGGATGCTCTGCTGCTGCTGCTGCTGCTGCGGCGGCGGCTGCTGCTGCTGCTGCTGCTGCTGCCGCTGCCATTCCTCTCCTCCACCTGCCCCATCCTCCTCCTCCTCCTCCTCGTCCCTCATGTATCAGATCCTTTTATTTTCCCTACGACTGCCAGCAGCCTGTTGTCAGTTGAGGCGGCACATAACCTGGGACATCCTCCGCGTTGTGTGAAATACCCCATGTGCTCCTTCAGGCTACCCGAAGCAAAGTAAGAAAACCCTGCCGTTTTGCGGCCAGAGAGTCTGAATAAAATTCGTCGCGTCATCCAACCAAGGCCATTTCAGTTTCGGATTCTCCGCGGCTCGGTCGCAAGCATGTCGCAACAAAAGCAGAGCTATAGGCACATCCTGGGAATGATCCTCGCTCTTGCTATCCCTAGAACCCAAGCCACGCTGAAAAACTCTTGCAGTATACTTGTTGAACGTCGCTGAGGTCATCCCAGCTTTCACGCAAATATTGATGGGTTCCATGCGCCCTCTGCACCGTCCCCACTCGAAGAGTTCTCCAGCCAAATACCCGTGGCCTAGAAATCCGGGCTTTTCCTTCAGAAACCACTCCTTGGTGAGAGCTTAAGGGTTCACTCAGAGGATCCCACATTAACTGTTCAGGCTGCCAAATGCTAGGGACTGCACCAACTATCCAGCTGCTTTTACCCAATCTTTCGTCCGTCCTAAGCATAAGAACGAACGGGTTCACCTAATACAGACTGAACCGTGAGACCTGAGCCCTGGGACGGCTTCCAGTTCCCAGGTTCCCAGCTAAGGTTCAGCAAGGCTTAGGGAGTCCAGGGCTTCAGGTGTAGGGCAGGGTGTAGGATTTAGTGGCTTCGGGGCTGTTACCGAGATAAGGCATCTGCCTGAGGCAGCCAAAGGAAGACAAACACACGAGGATCCCACATTGAGGATAAGCTCTCTTCAAGGAACTCCATGGAGATCTGCCAGGGATTCCTTTATCAAGGAGGTCTTTCTGGTCCCTATTGCGCCCTACTTCCATCAAATGCCTCTCAGAAAACCTGTTAGCTAGTAGCCTTTCTCTGGATTCGGCCACTGCACCTGATACCCGCCACTCGGCATCCGAAGCTAAAATGCTTAAGGCCCCAGTGCAACTAAAGCGTTTGCCCAACGCCGCCAGGCAAGACCTTGAACCCTGAACCCGACTAAGCCTCAGCCTTACGCCCGGGACCCGCACCTCTAAAACCAAACCCCTCATCCCCAGACGCGATAGTCCCTATCAGCCCTGGAACCCCCCCACTGTTTGCTGTCTACTGCGGGCTTAGAATATGCAGAATTAAAGTTTTGCGGAACATCCCCGGCAGTGTGGGGACGTCTTTAATCGAGCAGCTGCGATCTCCACAGCAAGGGATGCATCAGCGCGGAAGGTGTTAATCAAGATGGAAAGTACCTAGATCTCCAGGGTCCAGCGCTTCAGGCCAGAGATTTAGGGTGCATACTGCAGCTTGGGGATTAGGATGCAGGGCATAATTTTTGCGGTTTGGGGAATGGATTTTCGCTAGCGGGTGTGGGGTTGAGAGCGGGGATTGATTAAATGGATCAGAGTATGGGGATCGGGGTTGGCTGGAAGGAGTTAAGGGCAAAGGCCTGCAGAAGCCAAGGTTTCCCTGCAAGACCTTGGTGAATCAAGTAGCCTGCTTGAAAAAACCTTGGTTATACGGTTACCAGCGTCGCGATGGAGATGAAAGAGCAAGTAAGGAGGTTGCCCAACCCGTGAGCTAGCTGGGCAAACGACCAGGACGCAGGAATCAGCACATCAGCTCATGCCAAGTCCATCTAAGCCCTACACCCCGAACTGAGGCCCCTCAAATGAAAATTTGGACTGGTGACCTTAGTTACTACAGCCTCAGCTGATGTAGTTCCTCAACCTGAAGCCACATTTTTCGAAAATCAGGAACTTCAGGAAGTGCACCACCAGGCCTAGTGAGAAAAGGCGCCCAGATCCTGATAGCAAGGCTTTGGAGTTTGGAGCTTGGGCTTGTATCATCGATGATCCTCACTCCATGCGGAATCGCATAGGATACAAAACTATCATCCGCATCAAGCTACATGGACAGCGCCACAAGACTCATGGCCTATACCCAAAGGGCTATAAAGCTCTAACCTCAAGCCGTCAATCAAAGCGCCCTAGCCCCTAGAATCTGTAAAGCCCCAAGGTGCTGTACGGCGGTTCCATGACGCAACCTTCTCACGCAAGATAGGGTCATCCCGCATCCTTTTTGGGGCTTAGCATTTAGGAGGTTGAGGGTTTCTGGTGTGTTGGGCTTGGGATCTACGGATTATGACAAGGGCCCGGCAGCAATGTTCCAATCGTTTAAAAAACAGGAAACCTCAAACTAAACACGCTTTCAGCTCTAAACCTGAAGCCCCAGAACCCCTTCACCGAAGTCGAAACCAAAAAAGGAGAGAGTCAGAGTCCACAACATTTTCGATGGCGAACGCTCTAGCATGTCTGCTTGCCTGAAAGCAGGCCGTGTGAGTCTGGATTCAAGGACTGGGGCCTAGAGGCTCAGCGTATGGGGGGATTTAGGGTGCTGGGTTTGGGCTAGGGCTTCGCGGAGTCACAGCCTTAGGAGGGTGTCAAAGTGTCAAATGGCCGTCTGACTACCTGGATGTTCCTTCTCACATCAAATTTGAAGAGGTAGCCTAACAAGGCCTGGATTCATTGTAATTAACTGCTTCGGCGACTCCAAATAATCACATTTTTCCAGCCCCTAAATGTTGGGCAGGTAGCTTTTTGCAACTCGAAGGCTTTTAACCTTGGGCTTAGAATTTGGACTACTACCACTACTACCACTGCGGCGACGACGGCCACGACCACGACCACGACCACGACTAGGAAGAATACAGACATATTCCCATGTAACATTAGTTTCATATTGAAGCTAAGATTACTGCTGATACTAGTACTCATGCTCACACTAATTTGAATACTAATACTCATACTCATTTTCATATAGACTTATACTGACACTGTTGATGGACGTTTGATCTGCCAACTATCCCTTGCACACCCTGAATTTTGAGATTGATTGCCCAAAACAGTCAGCGAGGGCATACGCGCGAATGGACGAAATCCTGCATCACGCACACGTGTCATCAACACCGACATTAGAGAAGGGAGGGGAGCAAGTCGATAAACTCGCAATGCTCTTCTTGTAGCGGGTATTGCACGATTTTGTCAATCCACCGTATGAACTGTCCCCCCTCTCTCCTCCCTCCTGATATTGAATAATCCGGGGCCTAAAGTTTTTGAAAAGCAGTGGGAATTATTTTGTGAAGGCTAGATAGGGCTGCCCCTGAAATCCGAACAAATGCAGAAGATTCCCACTAGATTCTTCTATAGAAATTTCTGGATAAGAATATATGAAACAGTGAAAGCCTAGGAACCTAGGGGGCCCCTAATTCCTTTGGATCCTGTCTTAAACTAGTCCTGCCCTTTGATGCCAGTGCTGATTAATGCTGCGGCTCAGGCGTCTGCCTGCGACTTCTCATATACTCATGTACGAATACTAGTGCCAACGGTAATGCTAACACCAATACGCACACGTACATCGAAAATGAATACGTGCTCGAACACGACTATCGATAGTCACGCCTGATGAGTTTTAATTGTGCGGCATGTTAAAGGGGCAGTGGAATTTTGAAGAGAATGGTCAGTTGCTTTGGGCGGAGGGACCCCCCTTCCGCTAAAGAGGGTCCAATATTACCTGACCATATCCCTTGTGGAGGATAGGAAATCTAAGAGTGGTAATCCTACTCACTCTACGTACAGTAAAACCCGTCCAGCTACAGCGACCCTAAGCCGAAGCAATAAACCACAAGGCCCGAACTCGCAAGAGTCTTTACATGGTAAGTTCTGCAGCCTTAGCCCGCATGCCTAAACCATCTAAACCATAGATCTTACATCCCGAAGCGAAAAAATGCAAAGACCGGACAGCCTGGGCAAATCGCGTGCAGTGCGAGGATCTTTGGACAGGTGCAACAAGATCTCAGCTCGCATGTTGGGTTTAGAGTCGCTTTTCAAGCCATAAACCCTCTTTTGGCATTGGGCGACCGCTGAATTTTCGGGGAGTCTTGGGGATTCTCTTAAATTGTACGACAAAAGAAACCGGACCATCCTCACTGCAAGTGTATTCCTGGAGTTCTAATGCTCCCGCGAACCGTGAAGCCTTCCTAGTTCCTATGCTGGTATATGGAAGACACAGCGAGACGCGTAGGGAAAGGCTGCAGTGGGCTCCCAAGTCCCCAGTTTGGGGTCATTTGTCCTGAGCCCTTTGCTCTCCAGCACAAAGGTTTGGATCCTTCGGTTCAAGGCCTTCAGGTTCAGTTCAGGTTTTTGGCCTAGTTTTCAGCATGTGGGTCGGAGGGAAGAGGGATTTGGAGACAAAGTTCCAATGGGGGTTTAGATCTTGACACCATTAAGAACGAGCAGCACTCTACCAGGAGCCGGCTGTTAGTTCAGGGGACGTTAGCCGAGTAGTTTTTTGGGGATGAAAGTGTTGCGTCTGACTGGAAATGTAGAATGTAGACTTGCACTGACTGTTTAGAAACACCAGATTTCAAGGTGCAACATTCCAGGCACCCGCTAAACGTCGCTAGGACATCCAAAGTGGAACGGGAGCCTCAGACCCCTAAGACCAGACCCAGCATCCAGACATGTGCATTCCTTTTTAGCATAAACAGCCTGACTTGGTAAGGACAAGTAGAGTAAAACTCGCGCGCACTAATTGAACACCCCGTAAACTACCCTCACCAAACTAACATGACCTGGAAACTTAAAATCGCCTGTTGACAACACAGGGTATCAAGATGGCTTTTGCCATGTTATTTTTTGGGAGGAGTATCCCCACAAGCAGAGAAGCATATATGTATAAAGGGGTGTAAAGAGGGTGCATGTTGAAGGATTGCCTTGGGCCGGTGTTTAGCATTGCATCATAATCGGTCAGGAAATTGCACGATGCATATCCAGCTTAGACTTGCTGTTATACAGTTTAGAGCTCAAAGTAACGTGTAGGGTTTAGGACTGCGCAACTGTAAGCCCCAAACCTTAACAGCTTCTGGCAACACGCCTGTAAAGTTCATGATGACAAAAACCAAATCAAATTCTTGCCCTTAGCATGCCAGATGCTTTCATTGCACCAGCAGAACCTCTCTTGGGGTAGGCTTGAATGCAAATGGTGATCGCGAAGTTGAGGGTCTATGGTAGCAAGGTGCGAAACGTCTCAGAATGTTTCCAAGCTCCATTGCTGAGGTGTTTGTTTTCGTGGCGGGAGGGATTCCACGAAGCCCTGCTTCCAAAAATGTAAACCTTCAACGGAAAGGGACTATTGAAGAGACTCAAAGGGGCAGAAACCCGCGTATGTGTCCGTATATGGTAGGCTTACGAAAATCTTGCGATCAAAAATGAAATGGAAAGCTACGCCCGTGCATTTGCACAGAGGTGTCTTGATTTGGAAGGACTTTGAAGGCCCTTTACAGGGACCACTACTCAGGGCGTGGGTAGGACAATACAAAACCCTGAGCCCGAGCCGCGTAAACCACAACCCTACAATTACCGGCTCACGTTAGCCTACAGGGACACTTTAAAGTTTAGGGTTGAAGGCTTCGGGTGCAAGGTTTTAGGGTTTTGGGTGGTGGTGCAACGTATATGGAGACACCGCATACATAGACTCACCAAAAATGTCAGAGAGCCCGCATTTTACATACGCTCACCCAATCATAGTCCACTCCACCACCAAATTCTGACAAAGAAGGGATTGATGAACAACATCTTACTCGGATCTCTCCGTATTCTTGTTAGACCAAGAGTACTGAAGTGGATAACTTGAATTCCCCTACAGCCAGTCACTAATTAGTCTTATTCAGCCATGAACATTGCCGTGGATGACTTGAACTCACCGAAGGACCCGGCATATTAAACTTAACCATCGTTGCCTCCGGAGTGATTATAAGGAGTTTTCTTGCTTTGCAACACAAATCGGGAATTTTAGCAATCAAAAATCCCAACATCGGGACCAAAGGTTTTGACACGTCTCAATCTCGATGGCCCTGTTAGACTTACGTGCAAAGCATTGCTATTGCGCAGAATCCCTGAGACCAGCCCCAAAACCTACACAATATGAATTGTAAACCTAAAGCAATTTTATTCTGCGCCCGCTCATGTTTTGGCAGCCCGCCTGCTGTTTGCATCGCCCGAACTTTGACTTGCGGGGTCAGCCTTAAAGGTTCGTGGCAGCAGGCTTACGGCGGGGAGCTTGAAACTTAGACTTTCGCTTCAAGGGATGAGGGATTGATGTTTCGAGTTGACAGCTAGCGGCTCCGATTTGATGATCGTACCCTCGTCTCAAAACAGGATTGTCGCTCGCGTGTCCAGAGTCTAAAGCACAATGATTCGTCCTGAGGACTATGGAATTGGCTTCAGCCTTGAATCATCCCCATTTGTCAATGAAGCCAGCATTCGCAACACCTGCAGCATCTTTGCAAATTGACAGCGCTAAACCCCGTGTAGAAAACCAAACGCCGTTGACAACACTCTAGGGAAGCAACAAAAGCAACTGCTAACTATAGAGATACAAGTCAGACCGAAGCACGCTCCGATGGATTCGAGGTAGGAAAAGCCAGTCACGGAGTCTCGTTTCATGGCGGCTTGTTCCTTGCTTAGTTTCCATCTGGGAAGTGCATAGGCTGAAGGTGCAGGAGTTATTAATTACCGCTATGAAGAAACCACCATTGCCTGACACCCTAGGTACAGCCGTAGTTGTTTCTGTCCCTGAACCTCCTAGCATGTACTTGCAAAAAATCCTTGGCGCAACAAACAATCTCTTGGGAACCTTCTGTCTTGTTCTGGGACATCAGGACCCCCGCCGGGAGCTAATTCCTGTTCTCTCCCTGCGAACGGCGCGGGGCCGGGAACACCACATCATCCACTCGACAAACACCTATCCTGCTCCCGGAGGTCGCACCACTCGCGCTTCCTCCACGCTTCCTGAACAACAACTGAAGCAGCAAATACCAAGCATCCTTGCGCATGGGGCTAGCAGCAGTCTCCTTGCCTCTAGAACACTCAATCTTACCTCGGTGTTTCTCAGAACAATGGTACCCGAAAAGACCCCACAGATATGCAGGAATAGGAAAAATAGCCGGACCATATGTGGGGATATATCAAGGCTATGGATTTTGGCCTTGCAAAATGAAACATGCAACAGCAAGGGTTTATGAAATGCGGCTGGGCAAAAGATACGTTAAATAAACAGCCCCGCCTGGTAACTAGGAATAGCAGTGAGAACGGCCATGGAACAGCTAAGCGATGCAAAAATGGCAAGAAGCAACAAACGTGCTCAAGCCAAGAAAAGTAAATCACAGTGCTAAACAATATGGATGATGGACCGAACTGTGCAGCAACCTTGAACTACACTACTTCCAGGGTATCACCCGCATAGTGGCCCAGGATCGCTGACCCTAAGCCTCAATCGTACATATGAGCGTTCGCCGAAACTCCTTGTATAATTCGATGCCATGGACAATTTGGGGGGGTCCTATCGCCTTTGGGGGTTTGGGCGTAGGATACA